GGGGCCACGTGCGAACCCTACCCCTACCCCCACGATTTATGAGGGGGAGGGTGGGGTTCACTTCGCTCGGGAGCTCCCGAACGAAGTGAACCCCACCCTCCCCCTCAGACATCGTGGGGGGTAGGGGTAGGGTTCGCATGTGGCCCCCTATCTGCGCTTGCGTGCAGCTCGCGGTTGACTGCAGCGAGCACGGAGTGGACCGTGGTGTTCGCATCTGGCCCGACGTTCTGGAACTGGTCTGATTCCGAGTTGCGAATGCCGCGAAGGGCAGCGAAGAGTTCCTGCCGCGTCAGTTCTTCCTCCCCCTCCTTCCTCGGCCGCCCGCCGAGATGGTTCCCCAGTGCTTGAATGGTAGACGGCGTTGCTCCGTCCGCCGCGCGATGCAGCCTTGCGCAGTCAGTCGGCTCTTCGTCTTGCGTGCTCCCCAGCCGGGGTCGGGAAGCCCCCTGGAAGGGTCGCGAATTCCTGCTCCTGCCCCTGGACGGGCGCCGTTCGCTCTCGCTCTTGTCCGCTCCCCTCGCAGTGGCCAGTGGCCCTCGGGGGGAACCAGCGTGGGAAGCGCCCCGCCCCTGCTCGGCAGGAGCACTCGTGTGGCGTGTTTCTAGATCTCCTAGATGGGGTCCGAGTGCAGTCGGGGCCCTGAGGAAGGAACCCTTTTCGTTGGGGAGGGGCTCGGTGTTCCTTGATTGTTCTGCAGTCTGCCTTCTGTTTTCCGGAGGTTTTCCATGGGAAATCGGAGCTCAACTTATCGGAGGAAGGGGCCCCGTTCCTCATTTAGGGTTCCTTAGGTCAACGCCCCGACTGTAGATGGGGCCTCCCCTCGGGCGAGGGGCCCTCGACGCGTCGTGCGCTCGCCTCTGCCGCGACGGCGCGCTCGTCGCCGCAGGGGGGGGGGCCGGAGCTGCTCTGCGAGAGCCGGGCCCTCGGCAGAGAGCTCGGGGCCACCGCGTGGTGAGGGCTGGCGCGTGCAGCCGTGGTGCGGCTGCAGTCGGGGCGCTGAAGAAGGAACCCTTCTCGTTGGGGAGGGGTTCCGTGTTCCTTCATTGTTTTACAGCTTGCCTGAGGTTTTCCTTAGGTTTTCGGTGGGAATCAAAGTTCGACTTATGGAAAAATGGGGCCCCGTTCCTTATTTAGGGTTCCTTAGGTCAACGCCTCGACTGTATCGCATGCATCCTCGGGCGCGTTTCCCAGCTCGCAGGCGACGGCAACGTTATACTGTCTGACTGAGCCTGGGCGGCGGCCCACGAGTGGAGGAACTCCCCGCCCCCATGCTACGTCCCCTCCTCCTCATCCTCGTCGTCGTCGTCGTCGTTGTCGTCCCCCTCCTTCTCCGCCTCTGCAGAAGGCGCGTATTTACCACCACGGCTGGCCATGGACCCTGGCATCGTATATAGGCCTCCCTGTCCTAGGCCAGCCAGGCATCGTGGCGTTTTTGGTGTGCAAAGTGTTGTGGGATATGATCAATGGAGAGGAGGCATGCCGTCAAATAATTTCCAGATGTCTAAGACATGTTCAAAACATGTTCAATACATGCAGCAACATGTTTGACACATGTTTTATACAGTTGAAAAGTAGATGCACATTAACATCCAATGGTCGGACTGTTCGAATGTCCAATGTCATGGCATCCACAAGCACCATGCCTTCTGTGGACCTTGCCTTCCTGCCCGGGCGCAGTGGAGCATGGCTGCGGCCGTTTCCAGTTCGCTTTGGCCGTCGGCGCCTTCTCGGCTCGATCCGGCCCGGAGAGGTCCCGCGCAGAGATCGTGTCGATAGCCCTCGTCTTGATGTTCCGCGGCGCTGTGCTTTGCTTCGCGACTGCGAGCATCGGAGTTCCTCCGCCGCGTGCCGCTGCTGTGTCTGCTATCTTTTCGCGCACCTCGGGCCGCTGCCGTCGCCATGGGGGCCCTGGCATCAGGGACGCCTTAACGCTGCAGGGCCGAAAACGCTCGGAGACTTCGAGGCGTAGCTGGGCCCAGGGCCCGAGTTCGGAGGCCTAGAGGTTGACACCAGCACCGATAGCGGCGGGGTGCCTCCACCGAGGGCAGGTGATCCTGGCTTCGGTGCTGGTGGTAATATTCGTGCTGCACAGATGGCCGAACTATTACTTAACAAAACGAGTGGTCCTAGAGATCTTGTGCGATGTCTTGTGCGGGATGTCTTGTGCGGTCTTGTGTGGGCTCTTGCGTCGGACTCTGGGCATCGATTCGCGTTCCCTTGCTTCGTTCTCCTGCACACGTCGTCTTGTGCGCGTCTTGTGCGCGACCACTCTTCGCTCGACCATTGCTTCTGTTACAAGTAGTAGCACCAATACCAGGATCTAGGAGCATCTTCCCCTGGTGGAGGCAAACCCCGAGGCCGAAGACGCTCGAAGACGCTGAAGACGCTCGAAGACTTCGAGGTGTAGCTGGGCCCAGGGCCCGTGTGCGGGATCCGAGCCCAGGGTTAAGTCGGGCGTGTCCCTCTACAGGAGGAGTATTCAAAAGTAGTCAAAACATAGTCAGGAGACGTTTTTTTGATTATTTCTTGATTTATTTTTTTGAGTATTTAATTTTGTATCTAAAATCCGCCTGTAGGAGGACATGGCCGACCGGCACCTAGGGGCATTCTGTGCCACATGCGGCGGCGCCAAGATCATCGCGCTTCCTCCCGCGGCTGGGGCCAGAGTGCCGCCACTTCCTCCAGGGCGTGGGCGCGAGGGCGAACAGATGCCCACACACCCCCGAGGTTTGTTATTTTTTCAGCGCGGAGTTCTTGATCTTCTGGGCCAGTTCCAGGGACTCGTCTCCGGGTGGCTGCGGCCGGCCCCGGGGCTCCGACGCGCGCCGCCGCGGGGGGCCGAGCGCGACAGAGCAGCCCCGCCCTGACGCTTTTCAGGGCAGGGGGCAGTCCCGACGGAGGGACGACGAGTTTTCCTAGGGATGCGATGAACACGCTACGCTGGATAGGCTGCGCTGCAAACACGACGCCGAGTGAATCTCACCGTCTCACCGCTCGGAGCACCTCTCTTCTTCTCGAAGGGTTGGAGGATCACACTCCCGGGGCATGGCGTCACGCGCCCAGGACACGGATTCGTGCTTAGGCTCGCCTGTGTTAACATGGCCGTTGCGTTGTTCATGGCTGCTTGGCGCGTCTTCTTCCCTGCTCCTCCTCTTCCTTCTCCTTCGTGGCTGATGCTTCGAACGGTTGACCCCCTTGTCCTCAACGAGGAAGCTAGCAGTTCTGAAATCATCATCATCATCGTCATCGTCATCGTCATTATCACCATCAGCATCAGCATCAGCATCAGCATCAGCATCAGCATCATCATCATCATCATCATCATCATCATTATCATCATCATCACCATCATCATCATCATCATCATCATCATCATCATCACCATCATCATCATCATCATCATCAACACTATCAGCTTCGTCATCATTATCACCACCATCATTATCATCATCATCATCATCATCATCATCATCATCATCATCATCATCATCATCATACTCATCATCATACTCATCATTATCATCGTCACCAGTCTCATTTTCATCATCATCATCATCATCATCATCATCATCATCATCATCATCATCATCATCATCACTAACATCCTAATCACCACCACCATCACATCACCATCACGTCCGGCACCATCATCAGCATCACCCCCATCATCCTCATCCTCATCATCATCATCATCATCAGCATCACCCCGCCGCCGAGGACCTGCGCCTCGCCGCCGACGACGAGCTCCAGGCCGAGGCCGAGCGCCTGCGCCGCGCCATCGAGCGCGCCCGGGCTCGGGCGGAAAGGACGGCGCCTCCGCGCGGCCTCCGCGGGCGGCGGCGGCGGTCACGGCGGCGGTCACGGCGGCGGCTTCTGCGGCTACAGGCGGGGCGCTGACGAAGGAACCCTTTTCGTTGGGGAGGGGCTCCGTGTTCCTTAGTTGTTTTGCAGCTCGCCTTAGGTTTTCTTTAGGTCTTCGATGGGAAATCGAAGCTTCACTTATGGAGAAAAGGGGCCTCGTTCCTTATTTAGGGTTCCTCAGGTCAACGCCCCGACTGTAGCAGTTCCTGTTCGTTTGGGAAGTTCGTCCCTGCCAGCAGGAAGAAATCAGATACCGATGTTGTAGCATCGCGCCAACATCGCAGAGCGGAGTTCGTTCGGAAAGCCATGGGATGGGCCCGGAGTGTCCTGGAGAATCTCGTGCCGGATTTCGAGGTGGATTTCGTGCGGATTGTTTCTGGCCAGGAATGAAGACTAGAGAACATCCACGCGAAACTCACTTCGTTGTTCACTCGCCGTTTCGGGGATTTGCAGTGGCAGAAATCTGCGCACAACTCAGCTGCAGCACGTCTGCAAGGTGGGTGCAGTGAGTTATTCGACAGCATGTAGGGCGACGCAATCAATGATCTGTACATGCCCACTGCTCCCTGGCCAGGCCCACTCTGAACCCAGCAGCGGTGCAGACGGCACGCCCTCCTGGCTCGGCCAGGAGGGCGTATGCATGCAGTTCCTTTTTACGGCCAGCAGTTCCTGCTCATTTCGGCAAGCGGTTCTGTCGGGCCTCGTGCCCATGTTCTCCGTGCCCATGTCGGGCGTCCAAGCTGCTCGCAGAAGAATCATTCGCGTATATTTCAATGGTCTTGGCATCGCTCGGACGTGTGCATCTTTCCTTCGGCGAGGACCATCGAGGAGCATCCTTGATCATTTGGCGAAAAAAAAACACGCACGAAACCGAACAAAAACACAGGGAATGGACGTCCAAGCGATGGCGAGTGGCCGATCATAATCGTGGAAGCTGCCGCTGCTCCTGGACTGAACGTACATCGGCGACTGGCGCCCAATATAGCGCTCGAGGGCCCCAAGTAGCGCCCAGCAGCGCCGAGCAGCGTGCAAGCAGCGTTCCGCCTACGACCACTAGCGACCAAGAGCGCCCAATAGCTCCATGTGAGGGAGATGCACCATGCTCGCCCTGCACGGCCAAACGCTTCCATGAGCTGCTTCCTACTGACGGCAGCTGCTACGGTGGCTACGGCCACGACGGCGACCAGGGCCAGAACGACATCGAGCACCGCAGGAGGCGTGTCGGATGAGAAGCCAGCCTGCCCCCAGGTGCCTCTCGAAAGCCTCTCATCACCCGCTGGCTCCGAGGGACCCGCAGAAGTTCCAGGGCACCATGGAGCCCTCAAATATCGACGAAGAATGTGGCCCAATATGTCTTGCAGCAAGGTTTCATATCGTATGTAACCGTTGCCATTGTACGACGACCGCGACGACGAATATTGCGCCAACCCTGGCGACGGCCGCGACCACGACGACCACGGCGACGAGAGCACATACGACGACGATGGCGACGTGTGCCCATCCTCGTCGCCCGCGCCCGCCGTCCACGTTGCCGTCGGCGTTGCCTCGTCATCGACGGCTGGGTGACGCTCGTTTCCTTCGTGGGACCTGGTGCTTGCAGTCCGTGCGGGTCGGCCGCATTGTCTGTGAGGTCCTGGCGCCTGCCGGCGTTGCGGGCCCCGTGGCTGTGGAGAACGTTGCGGCGCAGCGGCGGCATCTCAGGCTCGAGGCTCTCTCTTTTTTTCTCTCTTTCTTCGAATGACTCCTCTCTGGAGCCTAGGCCGCCACGCCGGCGTGATGGACTGACTACACGTCCTGACCGCCCCGCCCGCCCGCAGCCCCCTCTCCCCGCGGCCGTCCTCGCCTCCCCCCCCGCCGTCTCTGGTGTTCTCATTGGCAGGTTCGCCACCAGACCTGGGCCCTCCCGCGCTGAGCGCCCTCAAGCGCCGCGACGACGAGGCTCTGTCACTTGGCCACGCGCAGAGTGGGGATGGGGGAGGGGGGAAGGCTTCACAGAAGCACCCCTACTTCGAAGGCGCGGGCCCTTGTCCATAGGTGTAGGGCTGGCGCCTTCCGAGAAGCAGCCTCCCTCGAAGAAGCCTTCCCCCCTCCCCCCTACCCCCTTGTGCGCGCCGCCAAGACACTTCCTCTGTTCCTGCTCCTGCTCGCGGCCCCGCTCCTGGCCTTGCTGCTGCTGCTGGCGATGTCTTGTTGTTTCTCTCTCCGCCTCGGCTGGGCCCCCCAGCGGCGGAGGATCCGCGAGGAAGCCGCGGTGCAGCGGGCGGAGACGGAGCAGGCGGAGCAGCAGCTGGAGCAGGAGTCGTCGCAGCTGGAGGAGGCCAGTCCCCCAGCGTGGTGGGAACGGGAGCAGGAGGAGGAACACTAACGAGGAGGGAGGAGGAAGACAGAGGAGGAGGAGGAGGAGGAGGAGGAGGAGGAGGAGGAGGAGGAGGAGGAGGACGAGGATGAGGATGAGGATGAGGACGAGGAGGAGGAGGAGGAGGAGGAGGAGGGATGAGGGGGGAGGAGGAGGAGGGAGGAGGGAGGAGGAGGGAGGAGGAGGGCAAGTGGCCGACCGTGGCCGCGCGCAGGCCCTGGCCGCGCGCGCGGCCGAGAACGCCGGGCTGCAGGCCGACTCCTGCGTGAGGCGCCCCCCTTCTCCCCCGCCGGCGACGGTCGGGCCGCCGAGGACCGAAGAAGAAGAAGAATAATAAGAATAAGAATGAGAATACGAATAATAATACGACTAATACTACTACTAATAATACTAGTAATAATAAGAATAATAATACTAGTAATAATAAGAATAATAATACTGACAACAATAATAATAATACTAATAATAATACTGATAATAATAATACTACTAATAATAATACTAATAATAATCGTCGTAGTAGTAGTAGTAGTAGTAGTAGTAGTAGTAATAATAATATTGATACAAATAATAATATTAATAATACTATTACTAATAATAGTAATAATAAGAAGAAGAAACATAATAATAATAATAATAAGAAGAAGCGGCCTGATATTAAGCGCCTCCACAAAAGGCGCCCAGCACATAGATTGCGACCTCCTCCTCATCCTCCTCCTCCTCCTCCTCCTCCTCCTCCTCATCCTCCTCCTCCTCCTCCCTCCTCCTCCTCGCCTCCTCCTCACCCTCCTCCCCCTCCTCCTCCTCCTCCTCCTCCTCCTCCTCCTCCTCGTCCTCCTCCTCCTCTTCCTCCTCCCCTGGCACGTCCATTAAGGAATTGGCCGTTTTCGGTTCGCGAGAGGGCGCCACGGCCGTTATTCTTGCGGGTCCAGGTCCGTCGGTGTCGGTCCTCGGCCGTTTTCGCTCAGGGGAGGTTTACTAAAGGGAGGTCTGTCCACCGCCGAAAGAAGCGGCATCAACAGGAACTTTGGGCGCTCCGCGCGGCTCTTGGGTCCGCGCTGGGCCCCCCTCCCTGGCGCGGCTCCGCGCGCCAGGGGCGGCGCGGCGCCCGCCCCTGGCGCTGGGCCTCCCCTCCCGGCGCCGCTTCCGGCGCCGCCCCTGGCGCGCTCCGCGCGCCAGGAAGGGGGGCCCAGCGCGGGTCCAAGGAATCCGCGCGGAGCGCCAAAAGTTCATGTTTATGGCGTTGTGTTCTTTCTTCTTCTAATCGACGGAACCCTTCTTGTTGGGGAGGGGCTTGGTGTTCTTTGATTGTTGTTCCGTTTGTCTCAGGTTTTCCTTCGCCCAGACCCTCTCGCGCGTCGCGACACAGCTCGCACATTTCAATCGTGAGCGTTTTCTTCTTCGGCGTTTCGACATTGAGCGAAGAGGGGGGGAGGTCGGGGGTCTGGCTCTAGACCTCTGCTTCGCGCGACTGTATGCGACAGTGCGTCCTATGAGGGGAGACTCCACCTGCTCGAAACAGGCGCCCAAAACAGCCAAGATCTACTCCATGGGTGGGGGGGGGGGGGGCTAGGGGGGGTGCGATGCTGTATGGTGGTGCTGTCCTTGTTTTTTGGGGAGGGGGGCGGGGGGCTGGCCTTGCAGCATCATGCTGCAGCTGTCGGCCCGTGGGGCCCCCCAGGGCCCCGGGGCCGTCCGAGAGAGGCTCCAGCGGAAGGTCTGGTCCTGGGGAGTGTCGGGGGTTGCCAGAGGTGCCCCTGGCCCAAGGTGCCCCCACCTTCTCGCTCCATCTCTGGAGCCCCCTCGGGTCCTCTGGGCCTCGTGAGGGGCGCGCTGGAGGTCGTGGGGGGGGGGGGCTCCTTGGAGATCCTGGGGGCGCCTTGGGCCGGGGGCAGGGGCACTACCTGGCAACACCCAGGAAGGGGCTGAGGCCTCCAGGGGTCGGTCCGCGCTGTGGGAGGCTCGTGGCGTCGGGGGTCCGGGCCTGACCCGTGTCCTCGTGCAGGGCGTTCTTTCCCGAGGAGGAGGAGGAGGAGGAGGAGGAGGAGGAGGAGGAGGAGGAGGAGGAGGAGGAGGAGGAGGAGGAGGAGGAGGAGGAGCTGGAGGAGGAGGAGGAGGCGGGCCCATCGACAAGGGGCCCCTGGACGAGACGCTGCCCCGGGGGGCCGGGGGCGGGACCTCCCCGGAGCCGCACGCTGGAGGGACCTCATCGTGTCGGATGCCTGGGCCTCGGCGGGGGTCCCGCGAGCGGGGGAAACGGCTCCTTCGCCGCTCCTCCGCCGCTGCTGGTGCTCCTCCTCCTCCTCCTCCTCTTTCTCCTCCTCCTCCTCCTCCTCCTCCTCTTCCTCCTCTTCCTCCTCCTCCTCCTCCTCCTCCATCCGCTTGCCTCGACCATCTCCGACCCTGAGGCAAACCGGCTCGACCCCGTCGCGGAGCACCGCGATCCGAACCGCACGTAAGTCGACGACGTCACTGCCCTGACGCGCGCTGGGGGCCCCGCGACCGTCTCCCCCCAGGTCGCTCGCTGCTCCTCCAGCCCCTCAGCGGCCCAGAGCACACATCTCCGCGGCTATTGGACGCACACGGGTACAGGTCAGAGGTTCGCGGCGTGTGGACTCCCTCGGGGGCTCGCCCCACCCACTGCCGCGAGGTCGGGCATCCGCGCGAGGTGCTGGCCTCCCGCCGTGAGCTGCCTCCCTCGCTTTCTAACCACCTGGGCGTGTCTGGCGCCTGCGAGATGGAGGATGTCCGACCTCAAGCTAGGAATCGCTATATATACGCATGTGTTCGTACAACCCGATGTTTCTCACAGGGCTCACCAAGGCCGCGTAACTACTGTCACACTTTCGATTTTTTGGGGCGCAGTCTTTCTTCCTGGGACCGCGCGCAAGCAGTCACAATGACATCATTCGGTTTTTCTCATCCGCATCACTGGGATGTCAGTTTCTGGTGGACTCGTGCGTCCAACAAGAGCTGTGGCGTCTCGGTCTAGCTTCACCACCGTCGTTTCCTACGCAACGTTCTACGCCGTATCACCAGTTCGCCGCTGGCTCGCGGGACGACGAGGAGGCGACAATCGACACGCCTCCGTGGGCTATACGCAGACGCAGACGTGGAGGGGCTGGCGGGACAGCTATGTCACCACAGATGTTACGCGACACGCGCATGATGGCATGCAACACCTCCTCCTCCTCCTTCTCCTCCTTTCCCTCTCCTCCTCTTCCATTTCCTCCTCCTCCTCCTCCTCCTCCTCCTCCCCCTTTCCCTCATTCTCCTCCTCCTCCTCCTCCTCCACTTTTTTTCCCAGTCGGCACGTTTTGCCACGCACCAAGATTCGAGGTTGGCACGCACGGAGGAGACTTGCGGTAGAAGTGCAACTCGTCAGACCCACCGCCAACTTTGACCATTGGGGGGAGGGGGGGGCGTTGACCGATGAATGTGGCATGAGTGTTCGCAATTTTTTCCGAGGCCTGCATTACCAGCCGCAGGCTCCTGTCTGGTGCAGGGCGTCGCCTTCGACCCGTCAACACCCTCGACGACCGCGACCACAGACAGGCCAGAATGGAGTGCAGGTACAGCTTCGGGACGGCGTCGACGCCGCGGCAGTCCAGGGACTTCGATCGCATCATGCGGATCTTGAGAGGCAGCACCCGCTGCACAGAGTAGGTGGAACATATCCAGAAAGCCGTCGTCGAAATACCAGAGCCTCTGCAGAGCCAGAATAGGTCAAACATTGTACGCGGCCGGCTTCGGACGAGCTGTGGAATTCTTTGTCGGTCGTTGCTCAGGGAAGCAGTTCTGGATTTCTTTCTACGCAAATCGTTGGAAGACGAAGAGAAGTCTGATTGCGAAGGCCTTACGGCCGGTGCCGCCGACCCTGATCGCTATGAACAGCAAGAGACATGGTCCGTACGAGTGTGAGGGGGAGGGGGGAAGGAGGAGGAGGTGGGGGAGGGAGGTGTACTTTAGCTGGTGGTCGTGCTATTCGGCCGGTGGTGGTGCGGCGGCTGGTCTTGGTGCTTGTCTTGCTGCTGCTGTTGCTGCTGGTGTCGCTGGTGCTGCTGGTGGTTCGGTTGCTGCTGGCGATGGTGATGGTGTTGCTGGTGGTGGTGTCGCCTCTGCAGCTGCCGTCCTGGGGCTGTCTTGGGTGCCCTCTTCGAGCGCTCTTGGGGCTTTACGGTGGCTGTTAGGGCGTCCTCGAGGCATCTTGGGTCATCGGGGCGGCTTTGGTGGCCCCGGAGATGCGTCTTGGAAGCCATCTTCGGTCTCGTGGAAGCCTGGAAAAGCGCCAGAGACGTGTCGGGGCCCGACAGAGCCCCGGCAAGCAGAGGCTATCCTTGCGGGTGACTGCGGTGGGTGTGTGGGGGTGCTTTAGAAAGAGGAAAGCAACCCTACCAGACAGCACTTGGCATTCCAGCACGCCTGAACGTGGCAGGGGTCACGGTGGCGGTTTATATTCGTGATTCACTGGAGGGAAGGAAGAGTGGGCAGAAAAAAATGAAAAAGCGGAGGAGGAGGAGGAGGAGCAGGAGAAGGAGGAGGAGGGGGAGCAGGAGAAGGAGGAGGATCAGGAGCAGGAAGAGGATATTGACATCCGTTCTGGGGTGCCCTACCGCGCAGGGGCCGAATCAGCCAGCAACTGGCCCTCTGGCTCAACCAAAGGCGCTGCCGAGAAGAATCGGCTCCAGCGAACCCTTCCGGTCAAGGTCGGTACGGGGGGGGGGCGTCGTATCTGACCCGGGAGGGGGATCGGCTACCCCCCCCCCCCTCCGGGGAAAGGGAAAGGGAAGGGGCTTCCCTTCGACTCAATGACGACGTTGCTCAAGGTCGGTACGGGGGGGGGGCGTCGTATCTGACCCGGGGGGGGGTCGATACCCCCCCCCCCTCCCGGCGGGGAAGGGAAAGGGAAGGGGCTTCCCTTCGACTGAATTACGACGTTGCTCAAGGTCGGTACGGGGGGGGGGCGTCGTATCTGACCCGGGGGGGGGGTCGATACCCCCCCCCCCCTCCCGGCGGGGAAGGGATCAAAGGGAAGGGGCTTCCCTTCGACTGAATTACGACGTTGCTCAAGGTCGGACGGGACGGGGGCGTCGTATCTGACCCGGGGGGGGGTCGATACCCCCCCCCCCTCCCGGCGGGGAAGGGATCAAAGGGAAGGGGCTTCCCTTCGACTGAATTACGACTTGCTCAAGGTCGGTACGGGGGGGGGTTTTCGTCGTATTGACGGGGGGGGGGTCGTACCCCCCCCCCCCCCCTCCCGGCGGGGAGGA